TTTATCTTTAAAACCTCTTTTAAACTCCCAATTCCCTTCTATAAATAACGCAAGTATACGTATCGTTCAAGTAATACGGGGCTCTAATGGAGTCCTAAATATCGATCTCATAGGGAAGCTGGAAATATATATAAGCTAGCTATTAATATTATATTCTTAAATTAAAATAAAAATAAAAATAAAGTAAAGTACGAAGTTTGAAGTTAAACTACTCAAGTGAAATGGTACTAAATAAGCAGATGTATGACTACAACAATTAAGTTAAACTGGATGTTAAACTTTCAAAAATAAAATCGCTGAAATAAAACAAAGGTTTTTTTTTACGAAAAGTTCAAGTATAAGAAAACACTCTTCTCCTTTACAATGAAAATATGACTTGTGAAGAAATTAAAATCATTTGAAAAATATATTTAAAAATTATTTTGTGTCAAATAAGAGCAATCCTATTTTCTATCCTCTTCCGAGCGCTATAGAGAACATTAACTAAGCCATAGTTTGGTCCCTAATTCCGTGATTAGGCTGAGAGGATATTGATTGTCACTCCAAAACTCTCACTGCTCCCACACCTGAGGGCTAACATGCTCGCATTGCTCGCATTAGTTTCCAATCAACCGAACCAAATTAAAGATTCTAATCTGTCACCTTAAAGTCTCCAATGCTACATCTAACGAAGTATATTTCCCTATTTATTTGCACCCAATCCCATGGACGACATTTCCTTATTTATTTGCACATATTTATTTGCACACAATCCCATGGATGACATGCTCTCCCATGAAATCAAATGTGATTCTCTCTTTGGTGTAGAAATCATATCTCCTTTTTAGAACATATGTTTCTTAACACATTTTAACAATTCAATTGGCCAGATCAAAAAGTAAATGAAGATCAAAGTTCAAATCAACATAAATTATCGACATTTAAAACCATAGAAAACAAAATCAATTCTTCACAAAACTAGGTTCCAAGACTATAGTCTGCTAGGACCAAGGCCAGTCGGCCTACCTTTACTACCCAAACTAGATCTGAAACAGATAGAGAGGTGGTATCTCTAAAGGAAGTGTAGCATTGTGAGGGGAAGGACTCTGTTGTTGAGTTGACTTCTCCTCCTCTTCTTTCATATCAAAAGAGGAGGAAGGGTTCCACAGTTAACTAGGTTCCCTCTCAAATCCAGGAGGCCAAGATCAAGAACTCTTATGATGGCTGGTGCACGACCATAAATTGGGCGGTGGACTAGTATAGTTGTTTGATATCAACTGAAGTCTACCCATTCAACTTTATGGAGATGATCTAAACACACACATTGGCCAACTATCTCTAGGTGCTTCAGTGACTTAAAATGTACTAGAAGGTCGATCAATACCATTTGAAAGTGTGGAAGGCTTCCCACCAATCAATGGTATTTGCTCAGGCCGAGATGAAATGGGTTGCTGTTGAAGAAAATACCGAGACCTTTGACAAGCTTGCTAAGAAGTTTGAGAAGTAATTTGTGATAGCCAAGAAGAAACCGTCAATGAACAAGAGGATATTGCTACTCTTTTGGATCCCCGAGCGAGGAAACAAGGAGTTGAAAGCACAGATTCAGATGATGAAGATTGAGGAGAAGTTCTTCGAGTTCCCACTTGAGGTAGGAAAAGATTCTAAGCGAGGAACTTCAGGTTGGTAGTATCACAACAATCAACCGATTCATTATGTCGGGTCTGGTCGACCCGAAGTTTGCGGACTTTAATGAATTCGCTACTCTTTATACCACTTTCAAGAAGTCTTTTGGGGATGAGTTGGATGTCGAAGGCAAAGATGTGTCTTCCATTCATCTTCCTGATACTTCTATAATTTTTTTTCTAGAAGAAAATTTTTATAAAGCTTATATAAATGAATTTTTTTGTGTGCAAAGAATACTTGTGCATTTCTTTAGTTTGAAATAAATGAAGCTTTTCAGTTTTTTTTTCCATGCATTTGCTTCTTTTTTGTTTAACTTTTATCATATTGTTTCTTTGTGAGAACTCCTTGGTGATGAGTGTTTGTGTTTGTTAAATAACTCAGACCTTGGGAAAGATCGTCGAACTTTTTTTTGGTTTATCATGCCCCGACACATTCTTATACTGATTTTTTCACTTTGTTTTAATTGGATTTGTTGCCTCGGTCAGCCCACACCTTTTGTCAGGTCTTGGGTAAATCATATTGTTGCCTTCGCGGGGGTAAATGTTGAGATGCTACTGGGTTCGTCACCACTTCCATCCATGTGAGCTTTGAGACTGCCTTTTTGATGCTTGACTTTGTGGGTCAGTTTTGTTGTTAGGATGCCGATCAAACTTCTATACCAGCACTATCTGTTGTCTTTATTTTATGATATTATCATTTGACTCATGTCTTACACTTTCAAAGTCTTATTTGCATGGTTACATTGTCACCTCGGTCGGGCCTCTCATTTTGCCAAGACTTGGCGGATTTTATCATCGCCTTTGTAGATGTAACCATCGAGACTTGCTATTGGGGAGATTTGTGTCTTACCATTCGTAGAGCTTGTCGCTATTAGAGAGGGAACCACCTACAGAGCTTTATCTGATTCAAGCTTGGAGACGAAGATTTTCGATGTTGGATCGTTGCGGGCTATTCTTTCGACCGAACCTCTTCGAAGTTGCTGTTGACATTGTGTCATGGATTCAAGTTTCCTAAGTATTGATTTGATTTGAGAAGATAATAGATAAATTTTTCATAGCATCTAGAAAGATTTTGAATTAATACCCCCTTTATTCGTTAAGTTGTGTGACAACCACTTGAAATTGATCGAGCGGTGCGCAAGTATGGTTGGTCGGCTTATTTTGACCATTGGGATCTAGCCATACTTTTTTGTGGTACTTGCCTCCTATCCAAAGCATCTAGGAAGATGAAGAAAGTCATGTTTGGCTCCAGATATATTGTTGCGTGAACTTGATAATGTGTTCCATGTTTAAGTGTGCCTTTGAGATGTATTTCTCCTCATCGGTGTCACTTTCTCTTTTTGTTGTTAATATGCTCTACGCTTACCTAACATTTTACAATTTTGATTTCAAATTTGTCCTATGTGGTGTGACCAAGGATTGTAGCGGTAGGAACCTTGATGGAAAAGCAGAGAGAAACATAGAGAAATAAAAGTGCACACACAAACTTGCATTGTAAGGGCAAACTGAGGTATTCTTGGACTCTGTGACTCATTTTATATATTGAAAGTGGGGGGTTACAAGAAAGTAGGAGAGAGGGTTCTCCCTATGGAGTGTGGGTTTGAAGATAAGAGTAAAAAAACCCCTTACACATAGGGTTGTCAAAAAAACTTATTGCTCGCCAACAACTCATGTTCAACTTGTTAAGCAGCTCGTGTTTGGCTCGTTAGTTAAGTAAAAGAGTCGAACACGAAAAAATTTTTTAAGCTTGAATTATAAACGAGTTGAACACAAACAATTTTTTGTTGGCTCGTGTTACTCGTTTTAGCTCGAAATAAAAAAAAATCATTTAAATTATTTATATAATAATATATTATATATATAATTTATATAATAATATATTACATATATTTATATCTAAGTTTAAATCATAAAAACTCATGTGTTAACGTGATTATGTGACTTCTTTTGCATATATTTAGTCCAAGTTTGAATCTAATGTTCTGCATCTATTCTATTTTCAATTAATTTTAATGAGCCGAACATGAAAAAGATTATTTAAATCGAGCCGAACAAGAACACACTGTTCACGAATCAATTTTGAACTCGAGCAATTTCGAACGAACTGAACACGAACCAAGCCTGGACTCGCTCAAGCTCGGCTCATTTACAACCTTACTTACACATGATATATGCCCTCTATTTATAGAAGATAGAATGTTAAATGTGTAAAATTACATGTTTGTGTCAACTTTAATAGCGGCGTTACAAAATATCATTGTTTTACGTCGTGTATTATCTTATTTGTAGATTTTGACAATCTCAGTTGTACACAAACCTTTTGGTCGGCAGGTCCTCGAGTTGGTTGACCAAGCTAGTGTTGGTTGGCTATTTAGCTTGGATGCCGATCGACTTTTGCTTTGGGAATCTAGTTGACTTTTAAAGAGGGAGTTGGTCGGCCTTAGGGTGGTAGGTTGACCTGCTTGTTCCTTCGTTATTTCTGGATTTCTTTAAGGATATTATGGAATAGTTATTGAGAGAGTCTCACGTTGGTAGTGGTGACATTGTTGGGGTTACTGAGCCTCTGCTCAATCGTTAACATGAATGCCTATTTTTCATTGGCTTGGATGGCCACATGGTTGTCAGACTAGCCTTCGATCGGTCATTAGCTCTTTAGCAAGCTAGCTGTCAGTCACCTAGTGGTTCTTCAACCGATCTGCTTTTTGAGTACTTGTGTGTTTTCGTCAGATGGATGATTCTCATTCTATTTCTTTTAATCACGACCACTAAATTGTTTTGAGATTTAAGTAGACCATTTTTGGGGTTATCATATGCCAATTTTATTTAAATATATAAATAAAAAGATGGAGACATATGCATGAAAAAATATATACATTTTTCAAAATAATCATTATTAATAATAAAGCTTATATGAATACAAACTGACAAATTACTAAATTTGTTTTGATCTTAATACAATTCCATTTTATTTTATCTAATATTAATCTCAACACAAATCTATCAATTTTAGGCTCATCTATTATAAATTATATAAAAAACACTGGCATGTTTTTAACATGTTTATCAAGAAATTTCATTTGCAAAAAAAAAAAGAATTAAAATATTATGAAATATTTATAATATCCATATTTAACATATAACATTTGATATATCAGATATACTATCATGATATTTTAATGTTCTCATCACAATAAAATTATATTAAAAATATATTTTATTTATTTTAAAAAGTTAATATTAATATTATAATTGATGTAAGGTAAATATGTTAAAAAAAAATTAAATGTATATTATATAATAATTTTCCCAATAATATTTGTAAGTAAATCACATGATAGCTTAAATCCGACGATCAACCGCCGGCTGAAAGAAACCCTAAATCCCACGTCGATGCTGGCTCTCACCAGCCACTCCTTCGCCCTACTCTCACCCCTCGTTCCCTCCACTTCACATCGTTCTCCTTCTCCGATCCCCACTTCTACCAGAACGAGCTCAGCCCGAGCATCCATGGAACGATCGAGGCCGCACTTCCCGTTCCTCCCACCGGCCCATCGTGCCCTAATGTTCAACCTGTTGGCCACCGTGGACGACCGCCTCGACTCAGCGCTCCTCCCCTGCGCCGTTCCTCCCGACGTTCTCAGCTTCCAGAATCCCCAGGGCTCCGCCCACGGCTCCGTTCACATCCGCAGCGGCTCCCAATCTTCGCCGGTCTGTTTTGCTTTTGTCTTCTGGAAGTTTTACATACATACCACTAAATTCCTGGGTATTTAGGAATATAACACATAAATTTTAATTTTGAGGTAATTACATGCATAGCACTTGAAATTTTGCTATTTACATGTCTAGCATCATCTTTTATGGGCTTTTCAAATTCTACTCAAATATCAAAATTCATTATAAAATTCTAGCCCATGTTTTTCAAAATACGAATAAGGGGACACTCCATCGGTTCTCTCCATAGTAACTCTTTCTTCACTTTATTCTCTCATCCACTCGACCATAACTCTAAAGACGTGTCCACAAACCCTACCTTTTGGCAGGTCGATTTCGTCCTTCAATCATGGCTTCACTGCAAAACCCCCAGCGGCAGCGAGATCAATATCGCCACTCTCTTCGCCTTCCTCAACTCATCCACCGACGCTCCCCATTTTCTCTTCGAGCTAATCCAGGGCAGCCCCACCTCCCTCGTCCTCCTCATCGACCTCCTTCCTCGCAAAGACCTCGTCCTCCACCCCGATTACCTCGACGAATTCTACCAAAGCACCAACCTAGATGGCCCCAGACGAGAACTCGAGCAGCTCCCCCAAATATCGCCGTACCGCTCCTCATCTCTCTTCATCCGCAGCGTTCTTTCTCCGACGGCCATCGCCATCACCGTCGATTGTGGGAAGGAAGGACCGGCGAACGCGATAGAGGATATCATAGCCGGACAGATCTGCAGCGCCGCTGAGAAGATTGTTGGGATCTGGTTGGAGAAGTGCGCGGGAGCCGGGGAGAGGGTGGTGGGGGATGGGGAGAAGGAGGGGTTGGAGGGGAGGGATGTGTTGATAAAGAGGAATGCTGTAGAGATTGATTTGGCGGCAAATTTGCCTAGGATGTTTGTGCCGGATGTGGCGGAGCGGGTGGTGGGCGAGCTTCGGAAGGCGTTCGGAGTATAGTCTTTTTGTCTATTGTGATGAGTGGGGGGTTTGTGCCGGCCGTGGTATGAGGAGATTGGTGCAGGATGGGAATATTTTGATGGCCGTAATATCATTACAATAACACCAAGATACATATGCATTGTGTATTTGATTTGTTCTGTATTTATAATGTATAATTTTACTTATTATATATTTCTAATTTTATTCTATTTTATTTTTGTTGTGTCATTAATCTATTAATTCTTATATATATATATATATATATATATATATATATCTATGTGTGTGTGCGCGTGCGCATGCACGTTTGCGCTGAACGTCCCGGCTCATTAGTTTGGCCTCTGGCATAAGTCTCTCTGGTCGGGGGTTCGAATCCCGTGACGCGGGCTGTTTGGATCAATCAAAGCACACCTGGATTTCGACCCAAATGGGACAAGCGTTATTTGGGGCCCACCGGACCAAATACCGAGGGAATATTTATGTTAATAACACATAATACATTTATGTCCTTTGACAATCCTAAGAGCTCATTTTGGTTTTAGGCATAATCTCCATAAATTAGGATTGTCAAGCTTTAGTTAATGGGCAAATAAAATTATGATCAAATAAATTTTTTTTATTTGGCCGAAACAATGTAGTTGCTTTCGTCTTGAAGCGTATGCTTCAATCTTATTCGCATAGGATTATGCATAAAATGAGTTGAAGCATCATATCAAATCGAGTTTGGTAGAGATCTTGCCTAAATGCAAACAAGGCAGAACTAATCTTTCTTTTGAGGAAGGGCAAACATACTATATTAAAAAATTAATTAAGAAAATGATTAACACAAAATTAAAACAATGTCTTTGTATTTCATATCATCAATGAAGTGCGCAATCATTATAATTTTCTTAATATGTTTTTGCATTATTTGAGAACATTGTATAATAGTTTAATATATAATCAAGTCCAATATTTTTTTCTCAATGTATGATACAAGACAATCATTACGTTAGTTATCACCCATTCAACTAATTAATGAACGTTTGATAATCTTTTTTGCAAAGAGTACTATATCAACTATAGCAATAGCAATTGATAAAATTAATGTTGGTATAATCTTTTTTTGTAAATTAAGGGATCCATATGGTCGACTATTTTAAAATTAAAGGCAATAATTAGCCATTTATAAATAGAAGACACGCCATCAGAAAGTATGGTTCTGATCAGCTGGTCGTTGTAACAAACTAGGGTTGGGGCTTGCAGGAAATCATTGGCGAGGAGTGGAGAGAGAGTGAAGAGAAAGGTTACTACAAGAGCTAAAAAGCTATGCCACTAACTCGTTGTTGCCCCTGGTCTCAATCACGTTTCGTGAATGCAACGGGTTGTTTCATTGCAAGTGAGATTTAGTAAATCCCATAAATCTGGATTTAGTGTGGGTTGTTTCATTGCAAGTGAGATTTAGTAAATCCTATAAATCTGGATTTAGTGAACCTTGTGGTGTTTAAATTCTAAAAATGTTTGGCATGTCATATGTTAAAGACAATTATGTGAATGGCTTTTACAACTTTTTACGAAAATTTAAATTTTCATGAAACCTTTGAAAATTATATGCATGAGGCAAACTAAAGTCTTCTTACTTTTTTAATCTTGTTTATATTCATAAGAGATATGCTATCTTATATGGTTTGTGTTGATGAAAAGTTAAGCTTTTTGTAATTTTCCAATTCACAAATTATTTTTCCCAATCAATTTAGAGTTGAGTTGTATCCAAAAAAAGTGTCAGTGCAAATCTCGAGGAGATCTGACGACGCAAATATGACAAGACAGGTCAAAGGAGGGCTTACCGATAGAAGACTTGGAATCCCAATTGTCTGACCAGAAACATCAAGACTAAGATTAACCAAGGTAACTACAGGCTCAAACCTGAGTGTTTCGAACGGAGGCAGAATGTGGGGGAATTTAAGCCTTTCCTCCCGATGAATTCAGTCAAAAGGGAAGCAAACCCCTCAGGTCCTACAATTCCATCGGAGGCATCTGATGGCCTCCTCAAACATCACCAAGAATCAGTGAGACGGATCTCAGTAATTCCTCAAGACCTCTTTGTCTAAGGGCAGTTATTTATCAGATTATTGTGATTTACTCTCTGCCCGATAGCCTATCTCTGCTCTTCCAACGGGAGGTCCTTATTAAGGATCGAGTGTCAGCAACCAAATTTGATCAGCGAATCAACTCAACTCTGGACGACCGAGTCAATCTCACTGACCCTTGCTAGTAAATGGTCACTCAATCGACAGTTTTAACCTGATCAAAATGATTGGTGGACCCATTTAGCTTAGCTGACAGACAGTGTCAACTAAGGGCGCCCAAGTACAGCCAGCCGAGCCACAGAGCTGTCAGACTCTCAGCCCACATATGTAAAATACTTATAATAACATGTATAATCCCCATTAAAGCAGGGGCATAAATGTAACTTTACATATTACACCCATTTTTTATAAATAGGGCATCATTCTATGAATAAAATGTTGCACCCCTCCTTAAAATTATTGTTTATTACGGTGCATTTTTCTCACCATCTCTCTCTAACTTTTCTTACCTTTATTCCATGGGAGTGGTACACAAATAAATCATGATTCAACATTCTAAAAGGTGTGGTGAGATTGAATCATTTTAAGAGCAAGAAGAGGAGCAGCACAATGATAAAAAGATCACATCAGAGGCATCACCAACATGGAATACACTAGGGAGTTTGTGCAACAAAAAATTCAAGAGATAAAGGATGACATGATGAACCCGTTCAAAAGAGGTATTGAATCAAAGAAGGGAGCAAAACCCCTGACAAGAAGCGTGAACGCCCAATGGCTGAAGAGTATCTTTGCATGAAGAAAGGATTGGAGATTTCCAGTACCTAGACAGTGTTGTGTCGGCACTGATAGATAGACAAGTGTTCATCCGAATTGAGGCACCCATCTAGCTAGAGAATGCATTTTTTCGATAAATATCTGAAGTTGAACCTAAAAGGGGTCAAACTGATCCAGCTAAGCACGTTGCCTTCTTTGAGTCGGTCATCTGTTTGTTAAGGATTACAGGCTCATTGAAGCGTCGCCTATTTTTTACTATGCAGAGGGGGTACCCTCAAGTGGTTTAACGTATTGCTTGAGGGAGTAATCATTGCCTTCACAGTTTTTAAATGAATGTTCTTGGTATAGTTCACGAGCACCCAAATTCTCAGAAGAGTTTATAAGCCTTACTGCAGATCAAGCAGGGGTAGAGTGAGAGCCTACGATCATTCATCATCTGATCCACAAGGAGATACCGAAGGAGCAGGATTTGGGACTCTTAACAGCACATGCCACCTTGCCTTAAGGGATTAAGGAAAGAACTTTCTACTATGCCTTGGACCTTCAACAACTAAAAACCTTAGCCAAATTATTGAAGCTAGCCAATAATCACATCTTAACAGGGGAGTTAAATTTCACGCCTGCTTCTGTTAGAGCAAAATCAGTCACCTATTGTCTATAGAAGAGGGCACCCTAGAGATGATAGGTAGAGGTCGAGGAAAATTTTACGTCCTTCCACTCACCTGCGTCATGAAGACAATCGGTCATCCCATGATAGTAGGAGAGCAAACACACGTCACCACCGTGGGAGTTTGATTCGATACCTTGACCAGTGACTGGCTTATCATAACGAGCATCCACCCGCTCCTCACGAGGTACCAAAGACTACTCTGTTGAGAGTTTTGATGGTCTAGATAGTAGGGGCCATATAAAATAAAGAATATTTTAAGAAGACACTTATGATGAGAATCAGAGCTTTTTTACAGGACCCAAAGAAATATTGTGCATATCACAGAGACCATGATCATAACGTTGAGGAATGCCAACAAGAAATTTTGGACAAACTTGTTCATGGAATGCCATTCACATTATTGTGGTGGTACCATCAATCTTTGTAGGACGAGGATATTCATGTCAATGGGCCAGTCAAAAGAGGCTTTGGTTGGGAGAACTATGCCCAACCACCTTCACTTTGAGGCACTCCTGACATCTCCCCAGTACCTTCACTGGCACAGATCTGCTCCTCAAGAGAAATTCATACAATGATGTTATTATCAATATTAACTCGATAAGCAACAATCAGATTAGTATCATCTTGTAATGAGCCAACTGTGTCAGAGTATCAAACCTAACCCTCTTGGTTGTAAATCATGTAGGTTGCCCAATTTTCTTGGGGTGGTTGATTGTTTTCATAATGTGGGTGAGTGGAAGGATATAAGTCTTCCCCCAACCTCCACATATCATGCCTGAGGGCGATCTTCTACAAACAATGGTTGGCTGAATATGCTCTGAAGGAAGCAGGGGTAGAATTGTACTCCTCGGTTGAGATGTGATTGTTGGTCAGCTCGAACAACTCGATTAAGGTCTTTGGTCGATACGTGATACCATGTCAATATTTTGAGCAAATAGGTTGAATTCTAAATAGGCGCTCTCTAAATAGGCTCGATGCCTTTTCCCTTTGCTTTTATTCCATTAAATAATAAAATTACAATCTATTTTAGGTACAAAATAAAGTGCATAATCTATTTTAAGTAAACTAATAATACATATTCACAATCTAAATATTAAACTAAAATGGAAATAAATCAGAATAAAGACAATGAAAATAATTTAAATAAGGAAGCTCCTATTTATAGAAAACTCTTAATTTAGCTATTTGATTTATGTTATTCCAGATTGACACCCCCCTCAAATTGATGCTGACTGATCAGGAAGCATTAATTTGCCAACAAGAAACTAATAACACTGTCGGGACCAAAATTCCTCAAGTCGTGAGTGCTGAAGCCGAAGATGCCGAAGTCGAGAATGTCGAAGCCTCAGCTACAACTCCTGAACCTAATATGAATTGAGCAAAGAAAAGCAAGAAATCCTACCGTTGTCGTCCAAAGATTCAAATCATAGCCACGAGAAGGATTCACGTCCAATTATATGATCCAGTTGCTACCGATCATAGCCTACTAGTAGGATCTGCATCCTATTATACGATCTAAATGTTACCGATCATAGCCCACAAGTAAGATTTGTGTCCTGTTACACGATCCAAATGCTATTGATTTTTCCTGCGACGACGAGGACAATTTGTTCCCAGATCTTCACGCTAGAATTGTTGAAGCCGAAAGTGCCAAAGCCTGAGATCTAGGGTTTGCCGAAGCCGAAGCCGAAGCAGTCGGTCTAGGAAGGATGTTGAAGCCTTCAATCTTAGAGTGTGACGGAGAAGCCGAAGTCGAAGCGGACAAAGCCGAAGTGGAAGAAGCAATTGAAGATGTCGTAGAAGCAACGATGGCTAGTGAAGGAGATCTGAAGAAATAATGAGACGACGAGCAGACGAGTGAGAATCAAGGCAAAAAAAATAGTTCCTCCCTTCCCGCAAGAAAGCCGACGGGAAGGGAGCCTCAACAGTCTTCCAATGACTACCGGTGGTTAGGACAAAAATTTGGTTCTGATACAATGTCAAAATTTTGAGGAAAATAGGTTGAATCCCGAATAGGCTCAATGCCTTTTCCCTTTGCTTTCATTCCATTAAAATAATAATCTTACAATCTATTTTAGGTACAAAATAAAGTGCATAATCTATTTTAGGTAACCTAATAATACATATTCATAATCTAAATATTCAACTAAAAGAGAAATAAATCAGAATAAAGATAATAAAAATAATTTAAATAAGGAAGCTCCTAATTATAGAAAACTCCTAATTTAGCTGTCTGATTTCCGTTCTTCCAGATTAACAATTATCACCACTGTTGGCAGCGCCGCCGCTACCATAATAGGACCACCGTTGCCTGGTCTTCACTGTTGTCACCGTCGCTATTAGGATCACCACTGTCATCTAGCCACCACCATCATCAGATCACTACCATCTGTGCCATTGAACAAATGTCATCAGGACGTCACTACTTCCTAAACATATTATGCCACTCACCCAGTGGAAGTCACATAATATGTATAAAATTACTCTTGGTCAGCCAATGGTCGACAAATTATCGTAATCAACATTGAGATAATGAAATCATTTCAATTGCGCTAAATCTCATGATTTTTTATTTTTTGGGTTATTAACGTATAAACTCATGTCGTCCTCTCTGTCAATTTTCTTTTCATCTGTGACTGTTCATACAATACTAAGACATTAATATATCACTTTACAACCTCGAATTTATTCGCACACAATAATTTTAAATCAGCGTAAACTAATTTCAAATTTAAATGTCATTTAATTTGCTAAAAAAGAAATGCATAGTATAAATTTTGGAGTTATTAAATAAATACAAGAGATCATTTTACTTTTTTTTTTTGTTTGAAGATGTAATGCAAACTCAACGAATATTAGCGGACGACAATTCCCAAATACCAATAACAATAGTGGGCGACAACTGCAAAGTACCGATAACAATAGCAGGAGTCGTAATAAATGATGATGGTGACAATGATGATTACCAAAGTCTTGCAATAATAGTAATGATAATAATAGAAATTTGTCTATATATATATATATATATAACTCCACCCCCTCTATATAAAATTGAAGCGCCTGCATGGTATTTAAAGTAGCTTGCTAATGCAGGGAAAGAAAATGGTCCCAAAGTTTAAATTAGATCATTAAATGCCGAGATTCGAGTTTTGAATAGAATTGGCAGCCCCTCTGAGGAAAAATTATTCCATACGGATCGGACACAACATGCGTCTGTCCGAGCTGACCGTAAATCAGGTGATCTACGGTCAAGATGTATTTCGATGAGTCCCACCTAAATTAAAAAAAAAAAACGAAAATAATCCTGACGGTTCGGATCAGACACCGCATCCCACTCGTAACTTATTTATTTGAAAAACAACATGTATAGAACAATCAGTGCATTTTTATTTAAAAAATAATAAAACCCAAACCGGGCCATTTTAAAAAAGAAGAGAAGTTTACATGTATACCACACCATTCTTTTGAATTTACATATCAAACTCCAAAAATTTGAAATTTATTTTTTTAATATTATATGTCATAAGTTTATGCACAAAAATGTATATTTCAGTTTTAAAAATTAAAAATTAATAGAATTTTTAATATAATATTAAATTTTGAGTGTTATTTATGTAAACAGAAAAGCTTAGGCCTTAAACGTGTTAAGGCATAAGAATTATCCGGCATGCATGAAAATGTCCCAAAAAATTAAATTTATATTAAAAAAAAAAATTTCTAAGACCAAGAAATGTACGGTCAGAATAGAGATACAGGAAAAAAATATTATATCAGGACTTCTAATGTATTCAAAGTCTAATCTTAAAACACCACGTGTCAAGTGAGCTACGTTATTTTTAACACCTTCTAATACATGTGGTGCATCATTAGTGGACTTTGAACCCAAACTAGAAGTGATATATTATTCGCTCGAGATACAGTGGCACATGGAGAGCCGTCTTTTTTAAGTTTTTTCGAATGTATTAATCGTTCTGCGCTCCCGAATTGCTAAGGATAAGAGCTCCGCCGTTCTTCTTCCTTTCCAATGGGAACAAATTGAAAAGAAAGATGGGTAAGTTCTTCTTTGGATACACTCGACAACTGTTACGAAAACAAGGGTTTTTTATGGTTTTTTTTCCTTTGTGTTTTAGTTGATTTTTCTAGAATAAATTGGTATTTTGGGTATAGTGTCGTAGCCATTTTCTTGTTACTTTCCTTCTGGGCTTTGGTTTTGCTGAAGAACAGCTGAAGCATGAATTTTTTGTGTGGTTGCGTTTGTTTGGGCGGTTCTTTATAGACAAGAAACACATTTTCATTGAACTTGACAGATTCCAATCACCCAGAAAAGGTTTTATTGATACAGAAGGACTTGAACGAAACTCCTATCTTTGTTGGATTTTAGATCTGAATATGGTAGCAGATCTTCATTGCTAGTCTCTTTTGTAAATTTTGGCTGTGTTTGGTGTTAGGGGGGTAGGAAGTGATTCGTGATGCGAAGGGTCATCTGGATTCAGTATAAAGCATGTGATGTTTTTCATGGTCTCCTGATTTGAGGAAGCAGCTAATGATTGTGCGTGGTTCTGTTTGACACTTTCAGCTCATGATTATGTGGTGCAGAGATTGAAGGAAGTGGTTTATGAGATAGCCATAACCATGCTTCATATCTGATGTTTAGTTATGTCAGTGCTTAGCATTGTGTGTAGTTTCGCTTTTAGATGTGTCAGGTTGCCTTAGGTTTGCAATCTTTGCTCATTATTGTTTATGGCTTCCTAGGAAAATCATAAATAGCTGGATATGAAGGAGATGTTTGTCCAGATCTCGGTAGCATCATAACAAACATGCTTTGCTTCATTAAAAATATCTGAAGATACACTTTTGTTTGCAATTTTTTCTTTTTCAGGTGTCATGCTAATTTAGACATGAATCGGTTACTAATAATATGTTTATTCGATATAGCAAGGTTAGATCCTTGTTATTAAGTGATTGGGTTGGTTCAATTTGTTGTAAAATTGCAAATATGTTTATACCATTTTGCTTTTTTTTTTCTCGTTGCATTCTAGACAAAGGTGCTGGATTATGTTACTTTCACATGAATTATGGTGAAAATCATTTTAATTAGCAGGAATTGCCCGAGTAATTAAGTATTAGTTTTTGTTTTAGCTTAGCATGTTGTGAGAGATTTTGCGAAAAATGATTCGAGAGATCCAAAATAAAACGTTGGACAAAAGCGTACAAAATCAGAAAACATAGAAATCACAAATAACATCAAGATTTATAGTTGAAAAACCTGAGAGGGAAAAAAACACGATGCCACACTACATCAGAGAATCCGCTATGAAAAATATGGAGAATTGTACAAATTACACAACATTCAAGATGTTCTGAAATCTGCTGGCAAGAGAACCACGGGATAGCAAGGCGAAAAACGCAGGACAACAAAGCGAAAATGGGAAAAGAAAGAACCGCAAAGAAAATACAAACAAGAATACCGAGAATTTACGTGATTTGGTTCAAAGGATCTACATTCACGGGAGGGAATCAATAAATAATTCACCAAGAAAATATTAAAGATTACACCGTACAAAATCAAGGACGAACCAATCTCTTCAAGCTCTCTATCAATCTTAATCTCGATACAAGCTTTCGTGGTTCCAAGCTCTCTATCGATCTTGATCTCGATACAAGTTTTCTTGTTTCCTCACCTTACTCTCAGAATTTTTCTCTCCCTTAGCCCCTCTCAACTCATATACATCATTAAATATATATAGACAACGACTCATACAAGATGACCGATAGCTCTCTATCGATCTTGATCTCGATACAAGCTTTCTTGGTTCGAACCAATCTCCTCTAGCTCTCTATCGATCTTGATTTCGATACAAGCTTTCTTGGTTCAAACCAATCTCTTCAAGCTCTTATCGATCTTTATCTGGATACAAGCTTTCTTGGTTCCTTACCTTGCTCTAAGAGTTTCTTTCTCCCTTAACCCTCCCCAACTCATATACATCATTATATATATATAGACCAATGACCCGTACAAGATGACTCCTTAAACACCTTTAAATAACCAAATGACCGTTGTACCCATTAGCTATTTAAACCTCCTTATAAATGCGGCTTTATTTTAGTTCCTATAATTGGGAGTCACTATAACAAATCTCCGTCTTGACTTCTAATTACAAACCTCCATAATAGAGATCCCTTCCCCCTAGGCCCGAGGGGCCTGAGCCGTTGTCTACCTTAACACTTCCCTTAAAGCTTTGTCACCCAAGCTTAAGATTATCACACTGTGAGCTCAGTCCAAGATATTGTTCTTCTCTCTCTCAAGCATTTCGGCTGACAATGCCTCCAGTTTTTGCAATGCTTCCGCGACACCTTGCTACACCTTGCTACACCAACATGGCTCTCATCTTGACTCTCCACAATCCAAAATCATTCTTTCCGGTGAATTTCTTGATATCAAACTTAACAAATTCCATTGTCGTGGCTAGAATTCCCACAGACGACACAAATTGTTATGAAATATGCTGTCAAGAGAACCGCAGGAAAGCAAAACGAGAAAAATAAAAAAAAGCCTCAAAGAAGAAATGTGCAAACAAGAACACCGAGAATTTACGTAGTTCAGTCTATAGGACCTACATCCACGGGAGAGAATAAAAAAATAATTCACTAAGGCATCTTGAAGATTACACCACACAAAATCAAGGACGAACCAATCTCACCAATCTCCTCAAGCTCTCTTCTATCGATTTTGATCTCGATACAAGCTTTCTTGGTTCCTCACCTTGCTCTCAAAATTTCTCTCTCTTAACCCTCTCAACTCATATACATCATTACATATATATAGACCAATGACTCATACAAGATGATCTTTTAAACACATTTAAATAGCCAAATGACCGTTGTATCCATTAGCTATTTAAACCTCCTTATAAACGCGACTTTGTCTTAGTTCGCATAATTGAGAGTCATCATAACAAATCTCCACCTTGTCTTCCAATTATGAACCTCATAATAGAGATTCCTCCACCTAGTCCCGAGGGGCCTGAGCTGTTGTCTCCCTTGACACTTCCCTGAAAGCTTTGTCACCCAAGCTCAAGATTATCACGCTGTGAGCTCCGTCCAAGATGTTGCTCTTCTCTCTCTCGGGCATTTCGACCGACAATGTCGCCGATCCTTGCAATGCTTCCACGACACCTTGCTGCACCAACAGGGCTCTCATCTCGACTCTCTGCAAGCCGAAATCATTCTTTCCAGTGAATTTCTCGATGTCAAACCTAGCAGATCCCATTGTGATGGCTGGAATTTCCCATAGACGAGCCAATTGAAGGAAATCTGCTCCTGGACAACATAGAAAACCACAAGATAGCAAGGAAAAAATTGGAGAAGGAAGAAAACCGCAAAGAAAATGTGAACAAAAATACCGAGAATTTACGTGGTTCGGTCCATAGGACCTACATCCACGGGAGGGAATCAAGAAACAATTCACTAAAACAATTTTGAAGATTACACCGCATAAAATCAAGGATGAACCAATCTCCTCAAGCTCTCTATCGATCTTTATCTCGATACAGGCTTTCTTGATCCTAAGTTTTCTATCGATCTTGATCTCAATACAAGCTTTCTTGGTTTTTCACCTTGCACTCATAATTTCTCTCTCCTTTAACCCTCTCAACTCATATACATCATTACATATGTATAAACCAATGACCCATACAAGATGACCAGTTAAACATATTTAAATAGTCAAATGACCGTTGTACCCATTAGCTATTTAAACCTTCTTATAAACACGATTTTGTCTTAGTTCACATAATTGAGAGTCATTATAACACAAACCACTCCACACCCTTTAGAATTTAAGAATACTCTTTCTATTCTTTGCTGCTAGAAAATAGTCGAAATCCAACAAAACACAATGAAGATCTTGCATTAAAGCCGAAACTTAAAGCCTCAAACTGTTGAATTTGGTTACTGGCGTTGGGGTGCGATGATAGGGCGCAACGACACTTCACTGGGCACATGAGCACAGGTCTCCAAGTGCTGCATTGTAAAACACTCGAGTTTTTAGACTTATGATGGGCATAATGACGCTCCTCATGGGCATTGCATTGTTGATTGCTAGGCTCAAAGGCATGTGCCAAGCGCGGTGGTTCTCCTCCTCCTGGGCATTGGGGGGCTAGGTACCAAAAAGAATATTTGGGACAACGCCCTCAAATCTAAATAGAGGGTCACCCCCGTACCCTTGAGAAAACACACTTTCAAGCTTGATTGGCGATACTGAGAGTTTTGAGTAACCAATTAATCACCAAAAGCAAACTTCACATCGTAACAATCTCCCACTTGGAGAAAAATTGCAATCAATTATGCTCCAAATCTTCAGCATTTTTATAGTTATAAATAGAACTGTGGCTTATCCCTAGTCCTAACTTTCCTGAGCTGCAATTGAAGCTAAGCATAGTTTTAGTTTCTCAATAGTTACAATCATAATCAGCATGTTTGCATGATTTTGAGCTTTATCTTCTCCAAAGATAATTATCTATTTTTTATGAGTGAATGAATGAAATGATACTTTAGCAAAAGTGCTTCGTCCTGACATGAAATACGACATTCTTTGCTAGATGAATAACACTCATACTGTCATTATCAAGCTTTTCATTCTCATGCTCCTTGCTCAAATTTTTCATAAAATTATATAGCCAAATAATTTCCTTAGTAGTCATTGTAATAGCAATATACTCGGCTTCTGTAGCGGATAGAGCAATGAATTTTTGTAACATGGAAACTCAACTCATTGTTGTGTTCCCCAAAGTGAAGATATAACATGTTATTCTTCTACCATCAATTTTTTTCTGCCAGATATAAATCTACGTAACCATATAAATCTATTTCTGCACTTTCTAAATAAAGTTATTTGTTGATTGTTGCTTTCAAGTATTTGAGAATCCACTTCATTGCCTCCCAATGATATTTTATTGGATATTTTATGTACATGTTAATCAATCTCACTGCATATGCAATGTCCGATTTTATATATATCATCACATATATCAAACTTCGAACAACTAAAAC